CAGTCCGCGTGTGGGCGAGAGGGGCGCGGGGCCCGCCGTGCCGTGTGTGTGCGGACGGGAGTAAGTGTGGGGGGGGACCCGCGTTGAGGCGTTAGTGTGCACAGGCAGCCCCCGTGTGGGCGTGCGCGGGTAAGTGTGTGCGCGCAAGCCCCACGTTGAGGCGTGTGAGCGTGCTCGCGGGAGCCGGCGGGGCCGGGGTGCAGTGTGGCCCTCCTGTGTTGAGCTAGCGCTGCAAGAACTGCGGGGAGGAGGTCCCAAACTCACAAGGGGCGGTGCCTCTCTGGTGCAGGAGTCAGAGGAAGCTCCTGAGGACAGAGGGTACATTTTCCTTTTGCACTCAGTCCTTGTCTGGTGTTGAGGAGCATTCCGCTCCCTGGACCTGAAGATTTCCATTTTTCATTCATTCTCAAAGCCTCTCTACATCTCCCTGAACCTCGCTGGATCTTCTAGGCTGCGACAGTAACCTGTCCCCAGAGGCGCCCCGGGACATGGGCTGGAGGGCTGGAAGGAGGGGGTGGCTCTTGACTGGACAGCAGGGAGGGTGGAGGCGGAGGGTGGAGGCGCTCACTGCACCCTTGTGGGTGCGCACACTGCCAGGGAGAGAGAAGGATCTTTAGAAAGCTAGCTTTTGAGATTGGCCTGAGGAAAGCAATGAAGCCCCATCAGATGGGCATGTGAGAAGGAAGACGATTCCTAACAAAGGGGCGAGAGTGAGAGGGAGGCAGGGGTGTGGCCTGTCCCAGCAGAGGGGTCTGATCTGGACAGAGCCGGGGCACACTAGAGAACATGGGGTTCCTAGGTCCAGAGCAGACAGGACAGTGGGTCCTGCAACCTTACTGCACATCCTGGTCAGCCAGAAACAGGACAGCCAAGGTAGAGGAGTCTGTCGGAGCGAGGCCCTGGGGTCCGTTGGGGCCGAGGGTCTGTTGGGGGCCAAGGTACGGAGGTCTGTCGGGCGAGGCCCGGGGGTCTGTTGGCGCAAGGCCCAGGGGTCCGTCAGGGCCAAGGCCCTGGGTTCTGTCGGGGCCAAGGTACAGGAGTCTGTGGGGCGAGGCCCTGGGGTCTGTGGGGGCGAGCCGAGGTATAGGAGTCTAATAGCAGCCACTGCAAGTGGCCTGGTATCTTGCAAAGACCCCAAGCCCTGAGTTTAGGGAAGAGGGAGCTTATGAAGTCGAAAGCCACATCGGGCTGTGGGCGGCAGGAGCTGTGAAGGGGAGGGGGAGTGGGAAGGGGTGGCTTTCGTAGGCCTTGGCGCTGGATTGAACTGCCCAGGGAAGCAATGGAGTTTTAAAGGACTCGGCTTGTCGAGGGAGGGAGGGATATAAAACGGTGACATCTGATCCAAAGTGGAGGTGCTCATGCTTCAGTACCAGGAGGGGAAGAGGCGGGAGAAGGCCTAGGGCGGTTGGGAAGGAGAGTGAGATGGCGTCTGCGCCAGGTGGGGGTCAGAGGGCCTGTTAGGGGCAGGGGGTGCCTGCCAGGGAGTCTGGGGTTGACGTGGGGGTCGGGTCTGGACATCCCGAAGGCAGTCTGAAGCCCGTTTGGTCAGCTCTGTACGTTGACCACGAGCGTGCTCCAGGCCCGGGACAGGTGAGGGAACACCGGAGACCTGGTGCCCACTCAGGAGCTGCAGTCCAGAGTCAGCGGAGGGGCGCCCTCTGCCATCAGTCTGCCCAGGCGCAGAGTGAGGAGCCCCGTGGGCATCAGAGGTGCAGCTTCCAGCTCAGGCAGGAGAAACCAGCGTGTGACTCCAGCTGTGCCTGAGGGGGCCAGCAGATGCAGGGAGGCCGTGAGGTGGGGCCCTGACCCCAGACGCTGTGCCTGGAGAAGGGCCCGAGGGCTGGAACGAGGACGCAAGCAGAAGGCCCGGCCGGCCCGGAGAAGGCCCCGGTGGCGCCGTGCTGCCCCGCCTTGACCTCTTCCCGCAGCAAGGCAGTAGGTTCCTGTTGCCTAAGCTACCGTCCCAGTCTGTGGGGTTTTGTAATGACAACCTGCCCGGGTGGCTTCCCAAAGGACGGACACCATCGTGACAGGCAGTTCCCGAGGACTGCAAAGAAAGGGCTGCCCAGGCAGGAGCACCTGAGCATGCGAGCACCAGGCCAAGGGTGCAGCGGCTTGCTGTGTGCAGGGAGTGGCCGGGGGGCAG